AACTAGTACTTTACTGAACCACAAGTGTTCAAACTAGTAACTTTACCTGACCCAAAGTGTCTCAAACTAGTATCTTTACCTGACCACCAAGTGTCTCAAATTTGTAACTTTACTGACCAAATTGTCGAAAACTAGTAAACTTACCTGACCACAAGTGTCTCAAACTAGTAACTTTACTGACCCACAATGTGTTCTCAAATAGGAACTTTATGACCCCAAGTGTCTAAAACTAGTAACTTTACCTGACCACAAGTGTCTAAACTAGTAACTTTTACCAGAACCCACAAGTGGTCTAAAACTAGTAACTTTACCTGACCCACAAGTTCTCAAACTAGTATCTTTACTGACCACAAGTGTCTCAAACTAGTAACTTTACTGCCACAAGTGCTAAAACTCGGTAACTTTTTAACTGGCCACAAGGTGCGTCTCAAAATAGTACTTTACCCTGACCCACAAGTGTCTCTAATAAACTAGTAACTTTATTCTGACCACAAGTGTCTCAACTAGCAACTTTACCTGGACCCACAAGTGTCTCAAACTAGCAACTTACTGACCCACATTGTCTCAAACTAGCAACTTTACCTGACCACAGTGTCTCTAAACTAGTAACTTTCTGCCCACATGAGTCTAAAAATAGTAACTTTTACCTGACCCCCACAAGTGTCTCAAATAGTAACCTTTATGACCCACAAGTGTTCTCAAATAGTAACTTTACTGACACAAGTGTCTCAACTAGCAACTTTACCTGTCCCTCAAGTGTCCGTCAAACTAGTAACTTTACCTGACCCACTAAGTGTCTCAACTAGTAACTTTACCTGACCCACAAGTGTCTCAAACTAGTAACTTTACTGACCACAAGTGTCTCAAACTAGCAACTTTACCTGACCACAAGTGTTCAACTAGGAACTTTACCTGACCACAAGTGTCTCAAACTAGCAATTTACCTGACCAAAGTGTCTCAAACTGTACTTTTACTGACCACAAGTGTCTCAAATAGTAACTTACCGGACACAAGTGTCTCAAACTAGTCAACTTTACCTGACCCACAAAGTGTCTCAAACTAGTAACTTTACCTGACCACAAGTGTCTCAAACTAGAAATTACCTGACCCACAAGGTCTCAAAACTAGCAACTTTACCTGACCCACAAGTGTTCAACTTGTAATTTACCTGACCAACAAGAGGTTCAAAACTAGTAAACTTTACTGCCCCCTAGATGTCTCAAATAGTAACGTTACCCCTGACCACAAGGTGTCTCAACTAGTAACTTTACCTGACCCACAAGTGTCTCAAACTAGTAACTTTGCACGTTTCATAATGGATGTCTTTAAAATACGGGGAAACCAACATTCTTTCACATATTGAATTATAAAAGTTTCTTGATTTTACCCAACATTTAGGTAGACTGATTGTTTTTCTGCTTCCAAGTTTTCGATTTTATTTTTAAAAGACAAAACATAATTTACACCGTGAGTTAGAGTGCATATATGGTGGGTACAAATTTGTGTTCATACGTGTTGTGTTGTGTTGTGTGTGTGTGTGTGTGTGCTTATTTGTGATTACATACATATTAGCGTAAGAGGCAGTGAGTGTTTTTTATACATATGTGTGTGTGTGTGTGTGTGTGTGTGTGTGTCGTGTGTGTGATGTATTTGTGATTCATCATATTAGGTACGAGGCAGTGAGTGTGTTTTATACATATGTGTGGGTGTGTGTGTGTGTGTTAGTTACCATATTGTCCTGGCACATGTCGATTAGACACTAGGCCTGTTGTATATGAGTACGTGTGAATGGGTGTGTGTGTGTTTGTGTGTGTGTGTGTGTTGTGTGTGTTCATGCAAAGTTACATAAATGTGCTTATTTGGTGAACTCCTGGAACCACGGACCCGGGGGGGGTGCAAGGTTGGGTTGTGGGGGAAGTGGGGAAGGGGGAGCACCTGGCCTTCGCACAGGTGAACTCCTGAAAAAGGACACTCACTGGTTGTCGAGGCAGACCCTCGGGAAGTGGGGAAGGGAGGATGCCTGAGGGGACGCAGGCGGACTCCTGGACACGCGGACCTGGGAAAGACGAAAAAGGATACTCACCGGCCGCCGAGGCAGACCCTGGGGAAGTCTGGAAGGGAAAATGCCTGAGGGGACGCAGGCGGACTCCTGGACACGCGGACCTGGGAAAGACGAAAAAGGATACTCACCGGCCGTCGAGGCAGACCCTGGTTTAAGGGCGACCTATGAGTAACCATGTAGAAATAAAGTGGGGGACCCTTGAGTAAAAATGTAAGAAGTTTGTGTTAACCCATCAATTACTTGATCTGAGACAAGATTTCCGTATGCTGGTTGGAACATGAAATGTCGATCTGGTACGTTTGATATGACTTAGAACATTTAATTATTTAGGACAATTTGATCAGAAAGGAAACACATATTGAACACTGTGATCTGGAATAGAACGCTCATTGAACATTCACATAAAACGCAAATGTTGTTCACTCAGTATAGACACACATATGTGGATGGTTGGAAGTGAGTTGTGGGAAGAGACGGTTGATGGTAAGCTGAAGATGAGCTGAAGATGGTGAAGATGGTTGAAGATGGATTGAAGACGGTGAAAATGATATTGTTGAAGCTGAGTTGAAATTTTAATAGTTAATGAGGATTTATAGTAAAGGATACTTAATAAACTGTGTGTTAATTTCTTGGCCACAAAGTACATACACGAGATTAAATTATGATAGAAAAGAAAACAGTTTTGTGACGAATTGTGTTGGTCAGCTCAGGTGTGTTGCCTACGTTTTTCTCTTCCATTGTGTTGTGTCTGGAGTTTGATGTGACCTACATCTTTATATGCCATACCAGGTCATTCTTATAGGCCATACCAGGTCATTCTCATATGCTATACCAGGTCATTCTTATATGCCATACAGGTCATTCTCATATGCCATACCAGATCATTCTTATATGCCATACCAGGTCATTCTCATATGCTATACCAGGCCATTCTTACATGCCATACCAGGTCATCCTTATATCCCATACCAGGTCAAACTTATATCCCATACCAAGTCATCCTTATATCACACACCAGTTCATCCTTATATCCCATACCTGGTCAAACTTATATCCCATACCAAGTCATCCTTATATCACACACCAGTTCAAACCTTATATTTCCCATACCAGGTAACCCCTTTTATCACTTACCAGGTCATCCTTAAATCCCATACCGGGCCATCCTTATATCACACACCAGATCATCCTTATATCGCACACCAGATCATCCTTATATCCCAAACCAGATCAACCTTATATCCCATACCAGGTCATCCTTATATTCCATACCAGGCCATCCTTATATCCCCCACCAGGTCACCCTTATATTTCATACCAGGCACTTCACATATCCAATAATAGGTCAACCTTATATCCCATACCAGATCATCCTTATATTCCATACCAGGTCATCCTTATATTCCATTCCAGGTCATCCTTATATCCCATACCAAGTCATCCTTATATCCCATACCAGGTCATCCTTATATCCCATACCAAGTGATCCCTTATATCCTTTTACCAGGTCATCCATATACCCATACCAGGTCATCCTTATATCCCATACCAGGTCATCCTTATATCCCATACCAGGTCATCCATATACCCATACCAGGTGATCCTTATATCCCATACCAGGTCATCCATATACCCATGCCAGGTGATCCTTATATCCCATAGCAGACCATCCTTATATCCCATATCAGGTCATTCTTATATCCCTTACCAGGTCATCCTTATATTCCATACCAGGTCATCCTTATATCGCATAACAGGTCATTCTTATATTCCATACCAGGTCATCCTTATATCCCATACCAGTTTATCCTTATATCCCATACCAGGTCATCCTTATATCCCTTACCAGGTCATCCTTATATTCCGTACCAGGTCATCCTTATATTCCGTACCAGGTCATCCTTATATCACATAACAGGTCATTCTTATATTCCTTTCAAGGTCAACTTATCCCTTCCAGGTCAT